TAACCCACCTTCTCACAGCAGGGAATTAATCCCTCTGGGGGATGCAAACGAACTTCAAAGAGAAGATTATGCCCAGACACTAGTACTGTATAGCGAAAGGTTTATACCTAAATTTGCTCAGATACTTTGGCAGAGATCAGAGATGCAGATCCAAGGAGCAAAGACTAATTTTAAGGCAGATTCTTTGCAATTATTACAATGGCAAAAATAATGCATTAAATAATAGCAGAAAAAGGCAAATATGACAAGTTTTATTAAAACTGAACAAGGAGGTTTTAGAGGCAGACAAAAGGTATCTGAAATCAAATATTTAGTGGCAGTTTATTCACCAGTAATAGCAACTAGGGAAATCTTACAATTTCCCAAAGAAAGTAACCAGCACCATGAGTTCAGTTTGCACAATGTGTGGACGGTATTCCATTCAGTGTCAGAGGTCTTGATGCAATGTCTAAGTAGAACTGACAGATGACATATCTGTTTCACGGATATCATGGAATGCTCTTCAGAACACAGAACACATGAGAGTTTACGATATACGTCTTCGGTAGTACAGACATTGAAAGTTACTGATGAAAAAAGGAACCGTCTTTAAAGTCTAGTAATATTTCTTACTGGCCTTTCTCGCATGTGTCATTTTTTTTATTGTGAGGTAATTTTTTTAGGTATGATTTAGAAGTATGTGTTCATTTTATAGAAATATTTTTTAAGTAGAGTAGTAGTATATCTTAGTAATCTGGCTTTATTTAGTTTCTCAATTTTTAAAAATCATGGATAAGGAATCAAATATAGAGTTTAACTTTTCTGGATATTAATCATCTAATAGAAAACTAAAGTTCCTGGTAGATTAAAGACTAAACATGAAAGGCAAAACTATAAATTTCTCATTAGAAAATATAGGAAAATATCTTCATATCTGTAGGGTAGGAAAATATTGAAAAGTTGTACTACATTAAAATCAGTAAGTTTTGACCAAAGGTACCAAAGAGTGAAAGACAAGCAAGAGAAGGTATTTGCAACATATACAAGCAGATAATTAATATGCATAATATATAATTTCTCCTAAATCAATAAAGAAAAGATAGAAAACTCAATTTAAAAAATGAGCAAGAGACTTGAACAGACACTTTTTTAAAAAAGTTATTCAAGAAGCCAATAAGTATATGAAAAGGTGCTCAATCTCATTAGTCATCAGGAAAATGCAAATAAAAACAACAAAGAGATACTACTACTGGACCATCAGATTGGCAAAAAAAAAAAAAAAATCAACAAATCTAATTGTACCAAAGACTGATGAAGTAGTAGAGCTAAGTAAGGACTACCAAATGCTGCTAGAGGGAATGCAGACGAGCATAATCGATTTTGAAAAAAGTTTAGCGAGATCCAGTAATCATAGTACCTATCCTATAGAAATATGTATATGTGCTCTAGTATTCATGTACAAAAAAGATCACAGCAGCACTGCTTGTAATAGTCCAAAACTGAACAACTTCAAGGGTTTTCAACAGCAGAATGGATAAACTGAGATATAATCCTACAGTGTATTACAGCGCAATGAAAACAAATGACTACATCTAGCATAACAACATGGAGGACCCTTACAAACATAATCTTGAGTAAAAAAGCAGCAAAACTTCACACAGAATAATTCTATTTCTATAAAACTCAAGGACGTATACTTGTGTGTTAAAACTATAAAGAAACACAAATGATTATCCTAAGAGTCAGAATAGCAGTTACCTCTGGAGAAAGGGAGAGAGTTACCTCTGGGGCACAGGCCAGACACACCTCTAACATTAAGAGGGCCTGGGCAAGAGCACAGATAAAGGCCACGTACCAATATGTCTGAATATTTAAAAGATATGAAATAAGCTTACAAACTATTAAATAAAATCTGTTCTATCCTCCTATTATGATAAATATGCATTTATAACTGCCTGGAGGACTAAATTCATACTGAGAATCTGAGGGTTTCTTAGAGTTTCATGTGAAAATGTGGTGGTGCAGGGGAAACTGACCACTGGCCCACTGCCCACAGCTCCCTTCTCCATCCCGTACTGCCAAAGGACCTCACGCACAAATGTGCCTTCACCTCCACTCAAGTCCAAGCTCCATCCCATACCCTACTCCCTACAAACAGCCACCCTTGGGCCATCTCTTGGGCCTAGGGGTGTATACACCAGCAGCCCAATCTAACCCTCAGAAAGATTACCTCAGGAAGAAACTCGCACACGCTCTGGAAATAAGCTCGGGGCCACTAAGCAAGAAAGTCTGAGATCCTAAGTACTCAAAGCATGGTCTAGGACAGACAGGTTCAGGCTCCAAGTGGGCATGTTCCATAAGCCCCACAGACTCCTTGCCCCATGGAAAAGAACTAAAGCAGGGCTGCCTAAAGCAGGGGTCCCCAACCCCCGGGCTGAGGACCGGTACCAGTCTGTGGCCTGTTAGGAACTGGGCCACACAGCAGGGGGCGGGAGCAGCAGGCCAGTGAATAAAGCTTCATCTGTATCTGCAGCCGCTCCCCAGCACCAGCATCACTGCCTCAGCTCCACCTCAAATCATCATCAGGCATTAAATTCTCATAGGAGCACCACCAGTCCCTGGTGCCAAAAAGGCTGGGGACCACTACTCTAAAGCACAGGACCAAGGCCTAAGGATCCCTCAGTATTTCCTTAGAAGATTATATTTCTTAACCTAGATAGCAGTAACATGGGTACCAACTTTATAATTATGTAAGCTGTATATATATAAGTTTAATGCACTTTTTCCGCAAGTAATGGGACAGACATCATGTGCCTCCTGGTTGTGATACACAATATGTTTTAGATACTCCTGCCAAAAAACCCATTACCTGAAGCTAATCATCAGGATACAATCAGATCCAAATTTGTGGATTTTCTATGAAAAAAAAACAAAAAACCCTAGAATCTTCAAAAATATGTCATAAAAGGTAAGGAAAAGCTACAAAACTATTCCATACTAAAAGAAACTAAACAGATGTGAAAATAAATGACTGTGTGATCCTGAACTGGATCTTGAGTCAGAGGGGAAGATGCCATAGAAGACACTACTGGGGCAAGTGGTCAGATTTAAATTTGAGCAGCTGACATTTCATCAGTGTTAAATTTCTTATCTCAATAGCTGTACTAGAGTTATGTAAGAAAATGTCCTTATTCTTAGGAGATATATTCTGAAGAATTTAGGCTGAAGGAAGGGCCACAACGTCTGTAACTTATCCTCAAGTGATTCAGCAAAAATTACATGGATATACATGTAGAGTAAAGCAAAAATGGCTAAAAAGTAACAACTGATGAGTCTAAGGAAAGGGTACATGCGCTTGACTATTCTTGTAACTTCTATGTGTTATGATATTTTCAAAATAAAGTTTTTAAAATTAAAGTAAAAAGGTAAGCAAGAAAGGAGTTGTGTGCAAGAAGGGAGAGGAATTAGATCACCGGGTTAACAGAAGAAGATAAAGACTTCATTTTGTTCCTTCTCCCACCCTATTTGACTTTTCAAATTTTGTTCATATCTTTTTAAAAATTCAATCTAACTTTGTGGGAAAAACATTAGCAACTGCAGAAATAAGAAAAATTGTTGTCCTTTAATTTATCTGCCAAATCAGAGCCATCATCAAATGGTTACTCTGTAAAGTCGGCCCACACAGAGGCTGCCGCATGTGCAGACTCAGTAACCCTCCCAGTCCAGTGGTTTGCACCATAAGAGGCAACTTCACATCCTACTTCTAGAACCATCCATTTGTAATATGCTTCACAGCCTTCATTAGATAATCCAAAAAATGGAGCACACACGATTATCTCCCATTTGCTATCAAGAGAAATTCATTCATTTTAACAAACACTGGTGATGTTGTGCAAAGCCCTGTAGATGACACAGACAGGTGTACAACATGGTCATGGTCCTCAAGCCAGCAACGCAGCAGAGTGAAGAGTATCTGAAGCAAAAATCCTGGCTACTCCACACAGTAGCTATATGATCTTGGTAAGTTATCTGACCTCTCTCTCTCAGATTCTATTTTGTCACAGGTGTAATGGAGATGCCACCCAACAACATTTAAGAGTTGTACTGTAAGGACTGACTATACATGTCAAGCATGTAGGAAAAGAAGGTATTTTCATGAGTATTACAGTTTAACTAAACAATGAAAGAGAAAATATGCCCAAGGGTGGTAGAGTCAATTAAAGATATAACTACCATTGAAACCCTGATTACCCCAAGTTTCTAATCCAAATAAATTCACTCTCCCTAAACACCAAATAACATATGCAAACTGTTTGTGTGTGTGGACCAAGAGCTGCTCTCTAACATGCCTTTGGCAAAAGCACCACTCTCTCAGGCACCAAGAAAAAGAACACTGGGTCACAAGGGTTCTTTTCTCATTAACCAAGAAGGATTTTAGGTCAAGAAGTGATATATACTCAGCCTGCACAAGATAGATACTCTAATCTGATCTAAGACTCTGTTGTCCAGGAATACATGTCCAAAGTAGTTTAGTCTAAAAGCTAAAGCCAGAGAAGGTGTTTCCTTCAACTAATTTCCAGCCTTCTTTTACCAGCAGACATAAAATTTACTAAATTAAATCCATTTCAAACATCTTCCAGTTTAGTAAGAGATTTCCTTATTACATCCCTTAACGTATTATATAATAACATAGACATATCTCTTATATTATTTTGTAACCTAAAATTCTAAGCCTTCCTCATTAGCAAGGTGATATTTCCTCCTAAACAGGTGACTTCCAGGCATCTGTGAAAGATACAAACCAAAACCTAATTATTAAAACAAATAAAGTCATACTTCAAGCCTGTTATGGCAGTGACTTAAATCGTTCACTCTACTTATTCTCCACTCCCTAAGTTGATGTGGGCACAAATAAAAGAGAAAGACATTTAAACATACTTAACAGTTTAGAATATTCCTGTGTGCACGGCTATTTCATACAATAAACAAACACGTCATATCATAATCGAACATGCAAATACCTGAAAGAGTGCCACCTGTCCTAGGATAGGCCACTTCAACATATACTTCAAACGTGGTCTCTGGGTTTTGCCTACAAAAGAAAATGATTGTGATTACTGACAAGGATTGAGGCGGTATGTCTACAGAACATGCAGGTTGTGGTATAAGGCAGACCTTGATTAAAATCAATAGCTCTACAATCTAACGTCTATGGAACTTTGGCCAAGTTACTCAACTTCTCTGAGCCGTGCCTTACTAATCTATAAAATGAAAACGCCCAACCACAAAATTATTGTGAAACTTAAAAAAAAAAAAACAACTGTCTAGGTACAATGTCTGGCACATGAAAGGCTGGCTAGCCATTATTACGATTTTACACATGTCACATTTCCAGTTTACACAGCTAGATTTCCAAAGCCATAGGTAGAATTTTGAGGAAACTGAAAGCAAGGCAACACTAGCACAAAGCCGGCTTCTCCCTCATATTCCAGCATAAAATACTCATATGATGAAGTTAACTTGCTTATTTACAGGTTTTAAAGACTGAAACGAGAGAAACAGTATCCTGTTTCACTAGGCTATCATGAGGACAGGATCCTAATCTAAATGTGAGAGAGACACTTTCACACAGGGGGCTTCACCTGTATCGGCGATGGCAAGTATGTGAATGTTCATTGTTGTGTCCTTTTACGTCACAAATATTTCATAAGTTTTTAAAAGATCACAGCACTAACAGAATGTTAACAGTTAATTCTGAGTGATGAGAACATCGGGGTTATATTATCTTTGTATTTTCTCTTTTCTCTTTGATTCTAAAACTACAATAAAAAGATATTTCCATATTGAAAAAAACCATTTAGAAGAAAATGTTATATTTTCAAATAACTGAATTCTATTTTAGACCTGACAATAAAGCTCAAAGAAACTTTGAGTTGCCTAATCAGATCTAAGGTTTAATTTCAATTAAATACCTTGAATTTACCCGGTAGATTCCACTTTTCAAAATAATTATCTCACTTATTTCATCCACATTATAATCCCAAGAGGTCGGTACATCAGGCATTACATCACACCACAGGCAGAACCTGAGGCAGAGTGTCTAAGTGACTTGTCAGTAGTCTCAGAGCTACTTAGAAATGCAGCCAGAACTAGAATTCACACCTAATGGCATTTAAATTCTATGTTACATTGATTCTAAGATGAACTTTCCCCCACATTTTCACATTTCTTACAATCTGTTGCATCTTACTTTTGTAAACAGTAGCATTTTTTGTCTTTCTGGACAATACACTAATAGTGCATCTTATAAATAATGGCATCTTAAATTCAATAAAAGACAGTAATACCTCCTCTACATCCATAGGAGTAAAAGGAAGAATGTGTGTTTTGTCAATCAGGGATCTACTTACTCTTCTTGTGAAGAATCATCATTTTTTCACTAAAGAGAAACTTGGGCTTTTGTTTTAAATAAATATCTACAGCTGAAAAGAGTTAGATGCTCTAAAATTCCAAGATATTTAAAAATACCTTCTCAAATATAATTTAAAAATTAGACACTAAATCACAGTATCTTGCTTAAAAAATGAAATCAAACAAAGTAAACTGAAGTCTAAGAACCTTAAAGAATATTTTTTGTGCTTATTTTTCCCTGCAAGAGCACACTAAAAGACCTAGAAAATCAGCATCCTTTGACCACCAAACACTGTGAAAAATACTATATGGAAACATATAGTATTTCTTTCATGCAAATAATCTCAAAGAAGAGTGTTTGATGAAAGAAAGGAATGTTCTAAGGTCATCCGAAGAGCACCAGGAAGATTGCCTCTAAAACCTAAACAAATCTTTCTTAAGTCTATTTTGCAACTGGCTGAATTTCACCTCAAAATTCCATTCCTCTGGATTAAGATAATGGCTTTCAAAATGTGTTCTACAGGACCCTAGGACTCCGTAATGGTTCTTCAGAGCTTCCACACCTTTTTGAACAAATTTCCATTTTGAAGTTTATTTTTCCCCATTTAAAAAAACTGAAATAACCAACATGAGCATGCAAAGGTGTTACATACCAAATTTTTAAGCACCAGAGCTCCAACACATTAACCCGTGCCACTACGTTAAGGTGATTCATACAGACCTGCTATCTCTCTAGGTGAAGAATGCCCTAACTTTGTCTATACTCATTGTCTACATTGCTAAAATATGCTAAAATGGTCAATTCTCAATGCTTGTCTCACTCAGCCTCTCACCAGCACTTGACAGTTAATCAATTTGCCTTCCTTCTTGAAATACTTCAATTTCCTTCCAGGACATCTCTCTCTATTAGTACTCTTCCTACCTGATCAACTGCCCTTTGCTAATTCCTTCTTTAGTAAGCTCTCCTATGCTGGAACTTAGTCCTGGATTTCTCCCTGTCTACTCTCACTACTTAGATGATCTCATTCAGTCTCGAGGCTCTAATTACCATACAAATGCTGGCAAGCCCCAAAGTCAAGTCTCCAACCTGATTTCCCCGGAAACTCCAGATACCCTTACCCTATTGCCTACTCATCTCCACCTGGATATCTATGAAGCATTTCTAATTTAACAAATGGCGCTTTTCTTCCTCTAACCTGCATCTCCTGAAATTCACCGGTTTTTCGGACCAAAAAACTTGAGAATCATCCTTAGCCCCTCTTTGTTTTATATGACACAATCAATTACATACCACAGTCAACCAATCAGCAAATTCTGTTGACCTGATCATCAAAATAGATCCAGAATCTCATGCTTCTCAGCAGCCCCAACCCTACCACCCCTGACAAATCGCCACCACCTCACCTCAATCACTACAGTACTCTCCTGCCTAAAATCCTCCCAAAAGCTTCCCATACCACTCAAAGTCAAAATCTGAGTTCCAGAAATGGATTGTGATGATGGCTGCACAACAATATGAATGTACGTAATACCAATGAACTTAAATGGTTAAGATGGCAAATTTTGTTGTGTGTAGTTTAACACACACACACACACACACACACACACACACACACACACACACACAAAACCCTAAGGAGGAAGGAAAAAAGCTCTTATAAGGTCCCACGTGATCTGGTCTCTACCTATCTCTCCAATTTCATTTCATGCCTCTCTCCTCTTATCCACTGCATTCCAGCCACACTGGCCTTTTTGCTCCTCATACACACCAAATTCACTCCTAGCTTACAGCTCATTGTATTGATATTTTATTTTATTTTATTTTATTTTATTTTATTTGACCTCCTCAGAAAGCCCTTCCTCAACAATTCTCTACATCTAATTTTAATTTTCCACATCATACCTATCACAATCTTGTTTACTGTCAGCATCCCTCCTCTAAATTTAAACTCTAGAAGAGCAAGGATTTTGTCTATCACGCCCGCTAGTGTTTTCTGGGTATCTGAACTGTGCCTGGCACAAACCCAGAATCAAATAAATATTAAGAAGGAATAAAAGTATAGACTAAAATACTTCAATAAATGATAGGAGTATACAATTCTGTGATTCTCAAGTTTTAACATGTTAAAAGACAGATTTCCAACCCCATCTCCAGAGTTTCAGGGGTAGGACCCAAGAATTAGCATTTCTTACAAGTACCCAAGTAATACTGATGCCGCTGGACGAGTGATCACACTTTTAAGAACCAATGATCTTGTTAAATGGAATTCTATTTCCAAATAATTTAGTGAACACCCTACAAAAATAAACATAGGGTATACCTCAATAATCAATCATTTCAACAGTGCTTTTGCAATAAAAGATAGACTTCAAAGAAGAAGGCATTGTAGAGGCAATGACGCTTACTCCTCTATTGCTATCCACAGTTACTGCCTCCTCATTCTAAGGAGTAAAAGCTAAACTACACAAGTTTCTTACTCAGTTCAAATAGCTGCCAGAGTTCTATTATACGAAGCCAAAGATTATAACAATCTCTTTAAAAAAGAAAAAAGAAAAACAAAGAGCTGATAAAAACACTAAGGACAAATTAGACTATAATTATAAGTTATAGTCATGCTCATCCATGATCGTTTACATGTTGCCTTATGGAAGAAGTGGTGACTAATGTTGTGACAAGTTATATAACGTACCAACAAATACACATAAGTTATTTTAAGGGCCAGTGAAGCCCTTCCATCCCCAATGCAGATGGAAGCATTTTCTATTTCTCTACAAATCAAAAAGTAAATTCAAAAATGTGTCTCTAATGCAAATGGCCAAGTAACTCTTACTTAATATTTTCATTAAGCCTGTAAACAACTAAGACTCTAACGATTCCCAGAGAATCTCTGGTACTACCTTGAGACGGCTTAATTTCTTCTATTATTCTTCAAGATGCTCAATATTTTTAACCACTTGGCTAAAGGAACTGAAAATCCTATTTCTGTCCTATTAAAACTCCCTGCTAATTCAGAACATGTAATGATGCTGAGAATACCATATTCAGAGCCAATTTTCCAATATGGACCCAAGTTTTCCGAGAACACTTGATGATATAGCTTAACATATTACCATAGAAATGTCCTGGTTCTGCCATGATATCCTGTTATTAATTGCCTTACATTCTTACAGCTCCATGATCTGGAACCCCACCCATCACCTTTTTTTTACCATCACCCTTCACCCACTTAGGTCTTGAACCCTAAGATCCATCATACCGAACTACTTGTACCCTCTGAACAAACCATGCTCCAACCTTCTAATACATAACCAAACTGCCACCACTACTTACCGTCTCCTATGTGCCAGGCATCATCCTAAGCACTTTACATGCATTATTTCAGTCAATCTTCAACAACGCTGTAAGTATCATGACCCCCAGTTTGGAGATGAGAACACTGAAACTCAGAGGACAAACCGAAGCCGTCAAAGCCAAAACCGAAGCCGTCAAAGCCAAACCAAGGAAGCGGCAGAATCAGCATGGATTGTCCAAAAGCACTAACCACTTTACTGTTCTGCATTATTCAAGTGCTTTCTGCAAGGAACAACAGTCTTCCTACTTTTTTGCACTTGACAAATTCATTCATCAAGCCTCAGCTCAGGCGTTTCCTCCTCTCCCAGAAGCCTTCACAATCC